GGGGGTCCTCTCCACTGGGTTCTGATAATCTCCCCAATTATTTCCTCAGCAAACTGGATGAGGATTACCTGTATATGGCGTATGCCGATATCATGGCAAAGGTGAGGCCCTACCCCCATCCAGAGCAGGTCCCCTTCTCCCCAGCTGCAATGGAAAGGTCCACTGAAAGGGCTGGGGGTGGACTGGGGTATCGCCTCTGTTCCCCAGCATCCCTAACTGATGCCCCAATTCCAGAGCTGCCACCTGGAGGAGGGAGGGGAGAACGGCGAAGCTGAAGAAGAGGTTGAGGTTTCTTTTGAGGTAGGTGGGATCAGGAGGTCCTAGAGAAAAGGGATGGGGGACCCTAACTTCAGTCATCCCCTTTCATTCAGCATGTGCTCACAGAGCAAAGCTGGCCCTGCTCTGTGCTGGGTAATGTTGGGGACACAGCAGTGATCAAGTCAGTCTATCAGTGTATCAACCAGACAGTAACAGCATGCTCAGGGGTGATGAGGGAAGTTTGGGCAGAGTGGTCAGGGTGGGATGGGGGAGGCACAAGCAGAGGGGCTGGAGCTGGGATGGGGGGATACAGGCAGGGGGCCAGGGCTGGGGAAGCCAGAGAGGCTCATGGGGCTATGGGGCAAGTACAGGTAGCCCAGGTAAGACCCCTGACCCAGCCCGGGGGAAAGGGCATCCGGGAGGGCTTCTCAGAGGAGGGAATATCTGAGCAGAAGGATAAAAGGGGTGTGCCCGTAGAAGTAACGGAGAAAGGTGTTCCAGGCAGGGGACACAGCATTTGCAAAGGCCAGGCAGTGAGAAAGAGCTAGTAAACATGCAACTAACCCATCTATTCCTCATTAAGACAATCAGCAAGTATTTCCTAACCTCTTTTGTGCCAGGGCTCCTTTTGGCATCTGGTGAAGCTGTTCTCAGAATCATGTTTTTAAATGTATAACATAAATTCATAACAGAGGAAATAAGTATATTAAAATAGTTATCAACATATTATTTTAAAATTTGATACAGTAATATCTGTACTTCTTTATTAATCTACCAAATAAGATCTAACAGTGGGTCCAACAGCTACTGTAATTGGTAAGTAGTGAGGAACATAAGCAGTATTTTGAGATGTCTATGAAAATGTAACATGGAAACCTCTATGATTCTTATTGGTGACACAACTATGTGTTCGTGATTTATGGCCTCATCCATAATGGGAGGAAATGCTCCATTTCAGTTAGAGGGTGGTAAACATAAAAATATAACTTTTTTCCTCATTCAAGTTCACAGACTTCCTAGATTTTATCCGTTGACCCCTTGGAGGTCT